GCCCTTATACACCCAACAACAAACACAGCACCACTCATCACATACATAATGACATATTTTATTCATTCTAGAGTATACATCATGTTTTGTTTTTTTTCAACAAGTAAGCCGTCTCCCACCAAGGCAGGGTGACCCAAAAAAGAAAGAAAATCCCAAAAAAAGAAAATACTTTCTTTCAACCTTTCACCACACTCAATTTTATCACTGTTTTTTGCAGAGGTGCTCAGAATACAACAGTTTAGAAGCATAATGTAAAAAGATAAAAAAACATATCCCCCCAAAAACTGCCAATACCCCAAAACCCCCTTCTTTAAAGTGGGCATTGTACTTCCATTCCGGGACTAAAGTCCAATATGAAAAAAACCCGGTTTCCCTGAATCCTTCACAAATATTCCCCTGCCACACCCCAACAGATCGTCAGGTCCCAAGTCCCTTTCATCCCCATTCCTCATCTAACACGCTCATGCCGTTTGCCGGAAGTCCAACCCCCTTGCCCAAAAACCCTCCTTTACCCCTCCCCAACCTTTTCGGGGCGCCCTACCCCGCCTTCCTTCCCCTATAGATTTATAGCTTTCCATGTCTTTACTTTGATCCATTTCTCAAAAATGCCCAAACCACCTCAACAACCCCTCTTCTGCCCTCTGACAAATACTTTTATTAACTCCCCCCTTTTCCAATTTTTCCACACTCCGAATTTTTGCAATTTTTACCCCCAAAACCATTGCCCTTAGACAGGCATCATTTTTCTATGTTTTAAATATGTTTTTATGTCATATTGAAACTGTGTAGATAAATAAGCCATAGAGTTTTTTATTTGTGTCATTTGAAGGTTTTCTTGTCCCGTCTCCAAACACACTCCCCCGCCCTGCCCCAATTTTCCCAAATACCCAGATACAGACCTCTCTGGAACACTTTGAGTGACAGGGGTCCTGTGACCAATGTCCCAGTGGTGACGTTTATTGCTCTGTGAAGACCGTTTGTGTGCTCTTTTAGTGGTGACCCGATTTGAGAGGACCCATACTTAACTCTGTGAAGAAGGTCTTTTTTGCTCCCGTGGGCTGAACCAAGATGCCCCCCACGAGCAATTTACCAGCAAATAAGGGAAAAAGAGGGCAAAACGAAGATGGAGGGGTAAAAGGGATTGACCGAGGAAAAAAAAGGGGTTGTGTATTCCCCCTGTTTTTGAGTCCTCAGGGGCAAGAAGGGATCGTGGTTTAGTGGCTGGACGAGGGGACGACGAAGTTGACGATCAAGAAGACGAATGGAAAGCCAAACCCATGAAGAAGGAAAGGATATGTGGAAACTCCCGTGGAAAACCCCCAACCATTCTCGGGGCTACCCAACGAAGTAGTCTACTACTGGGATGTCACGCGAAGACAACAAGGAGGTAAGAATTTGTTGTGGGGGGTAGTGGTTAGAAATGGAAGGGGATTTGCTTGAAGGACGGGTAGGGACAAAGGGTAGCTTTCCTGGAGTGGGATGGGGGACGTTTTGGCGGCTTGACAAATCATGAACGGTAATGGGATCAATCCTATTTTGCTCAGTGCTGGGGCAATGATGTGGCAAACGTAGAAATGAGGATTTTGTTAGAAAAACAGGCAGCTATAACATGATTTAGGGAAAAAGGGGGGCCCTGTTATATGTGGCTTTTGCCCAAAAAGAGGTGTTGGTAAAGAATGGTTGCCAGAGCAAGGTATTTAAATTTTTGGTGGATAAACACTGTAAGGATAATGCGGTACCTTCATTTACAACTGGGACAACTTCTATGGCCGAAATGACATGTATGCCAGGGGTGGGGTTTTTACTTATCCAGGGGGAGGTGTGGGTTTCTTGCTAACTCAGTTTAGGGGGTTTTTAGGGCTTTAAACTGGATTGTTAAGGTTTTTGGGTTTAGAAAGTTTAAAAATGAGTAGGTATATTGACTTATGTTGTATTAAGAAACTTAAATAGTAAGTCATGGAGTAACTCTGAGTAATGATAATTTTAGAAATTTTTAAAAAAAAAAGATGAAAAGGGAAAAAAGTGCGAGAAAAAAAATATGATGGGATTTTATGCAACAGTTTAAGTGCAAGAAATAAAAAAAATGAACTACATTTTGGGAGCATTGCTGGGAAATTTGTATCATTGCATTAACTGAAACGTGGTATGATTTAAAGGTCGGGGTATGAGCTGAGTGTAATTTCGGGATTTTAAATTATTCAAATTTGGATAGATGTAATGGGGGGAAGGGGGAGGGTTTGCATTGTATGTTGAGAAAATATTAATTGTTGCATAAAAACGGTATAAAAATAGAAATGGAGCAGTAACAAGTCTGTTTGGGAAAGGTTCGTGGAGGGTCAAGAAAAACTAATTAGGTAAATACCGACCTCCGGCGGGACTATAGGGGGAACTTCTTTGGAAAATTGTTGGGGCTTCGGACACAGTAACGAGTCAAGTAGGGACTTTAATTTTACCAAATTGACTGGAATTCTTTGACAGTAATCTAAGTCCAGTGACTTCATGGAAACAGTTCAGGACTGTTTTCTGAAACAGAGTGAAACTAAAAACCTACCAGGGTAAAAATTTTTCAGACCAGTCTTGTCTAATAAAAAACACTCGTGAAAAATCTGGAAATATGAAAGCTTGGCGCAAAGGGGTCACAAATCCACACCTTTAGCATTAATTGGGAATGCAAGAATAAGAAATACGTAAAAAACCCCGATTTTTTGTCGCCGTTTTAAAAGGACTTAGGGAACCTGTCTAATCTTTTTGGGGGTTTCTAGCTAAGATTTTATTTACATAAACAAACTTATGAAATAAGGGGCTGCTTTATGATTGTTTTTTTTTAAAAAAGAAACAGTGCCCAGATATAAACCCCTTTCCCCAAAGAAATTTTGGGCTAATAATAAAGATCCCAAAGGTTAAAAGAGCTAAAGCATCTATTAGGGGAGAAAAGGGGAATTTATAGGCCATCAAAGAGGAGAGGTTAACCTTACTGACCAATTGTTCAGCTTAAAAGAGAAGTAAAAAAGGCGATTAGAAAGGGTAAACGGACTAGAAATTAAGTCGCTAAAGAAACAAAGACTAATCCAAAAGGGTTCTTTTAAGTGAAGGGTGAGGTGAAGGAAAAAGTAGACCCCTGAAAACGGGAATGACAGCTGACGGATAATGAACGGAAAGGTTCCTTATTTAAAGACTATTTTTTTTCTTTTTTACACAGGAAGATTAAATGAGATTCCAGTAATTAACAATTATTTAGTTACTGGTTAATTTAAGTTAATAAATTTCTGTCACGAGGGACAGGGTTATTAAACAGATAGACAAACTGAAACAAATAAGTCCCCGGGGCCCATAGTTTTCAAGGGTACTTAAGGAATGCAAGATGGGGCTTATCACCTTTTAAAGAGTGTATTAAATGCGTCCATCCTTACCAGTGTTGTGCCAAGATGGGGAAGAGGGCAAATGTTTCCCTATTTCAAATCAGGGAAAAGTCCACTCCTTCAAATTCCGCCCAAAACCTGACTCTATAGTGGGCAAGTTTTTAAATCAATTAAGCACATTACAAAGTCCCTTAAGAGCATAACTTGATAAATAATCTCAGCAGGGATTCCAAGAGGTCGTTCCTCCTCAACTTACTGACGTTCTTCAATAGAACATTTAGGCATTTGACATGATAAGGAATTAAATATTGTTTTTTTGATTTAGAAGCCTTCGCAAGTAACCTCACAAGAGACTCTTAAAAAAATGGCAGCTCATGGATAGGGGTAAAATTCTAGCTGGATTTAGGCATGGCTTACCAATAGAAAGCAGAGAGTTTTCCATTAATGGAGTGAAATCGAATGGGATAGTCACTATGGGATTCCACAAGGGGTCAGTTTTAGGCCCTCTCTTGTTCTAATTTTCATTTAAAACCTTTATGAAGGGGTTACAGGACATGAGAAGTTTCTGATGATACAAAAATAGGCCGTTTAAAAATTTACTCTGAGGAGGAATCAATGAACTCCAGGACATTTGAACAAAATTAAAGCTTGGGCGAGAAAAGGGAGATGAAGTTTTAAAGTGGTAAGGTTTGGGGACTTGCCCTTGGGAATGAAAATAACCTCGAACTATAACAGGTGAAGTAAGCTTGGTCATACAGAATGTGAAAAAGACTTGGGAGTCATGGTAAGCAGAAATCTAAAGCCAAGACAGCGTGCCTCAGTGTGCGCAACAAGGCCAACAGATTACTTGGATTTATCCAAGAAGTATAAGTAACAGAAGTCCAAAAGTTATTTTAACACTCTATACATCACTAGTGAGGCCTCATTTAGTTTAAAGCTGCTCAGTTTTGGCCCCCTTACTACGGGATGGACATAGACTCATTAGAAACATACAGAGGAAAGACTAAAATGATTTACTGTGTAAGGAACCTCCCATATGAAGATAGACTTAAAGCCTTAAATCTCCACTCTCTGGAGAGGCGTAGAATGAGGGGAGATATCATTGAAGTGTATAAGTGGATGACGGGCATAAACAAGGGAGACATTAAAAAAGTACTGAGGGTGTCGAACCAGGTAAGAACCAGGAATAATGGATTTAATTTGGGATAAATTTAGATTTAGAAAGGACATAGGTAAGTACTGGTTTTCTAACAGAGTTGTAGATGCGTGGAACAGTCTTCCCAGTGGGGTGATAGAGGTTAGGACCTTGGGTAGCTTTAAGAAGAGACTGGACAAATATATGAGTGGGAGGGGCTGGGTTTGATTGGTGTCAAGGGGTACGGGAGTTATTTCTTGAGTAGCTTTAGGTAGATGTCGTTTTGATAAGGACCTGCCTCGTATGGGCCAGTAGGCCTTCTGCAGTGTTCCTACATTCTTATGTTCTTATGTTCTTAAAAAACAAAGAAGAAAAGTAGTGTAGTCACTAGTAGTCTGACTGGACACTCAAAAATACTGTGAATCTGGCATCAGGCAAAGATGAGAGCAAATTAACCCTAGTAACTAGAAACACATTACTATAATAATATCCAGTAGGTAGATTACCTTCAGTGGTGGTACTGGAGGCCCTGGCATAAATGGAACTCTGCCAAATACTCTTGTGAGGTCTCCCAGCTGTGTAAACTGATCATCACAGTCTCGTCTCAACATCAAGTTGGGGGTGAAGTACCCTGCCTTGTACCACTCTGCCATGTCACTTGATGAGAACGGACCTTGTATTTCTCCCTGGAAAATAATTTTTAAAAATTTTCATTCTTTTTTTTTCAACAAGTTGGCCATCTCCCAACGAGGCAGGGTGACCCAAAAAGAAAATACTTTCATCATCATTCAACACTTTCACCTCACTCACACATAATCACTGTTTTTGCAGAGGTGCTTAGAACACAACAGTTTAGAAGTATACATGTATAAAAAATACACAATGTATCCCTCCAAACTGCCAATATCCCAAACCCTTCCTTTAGTGTGCAGGCATTGTACTTCCCATTTCCAGGATTCAAGTTCGGTTATATAAAAGAACCGGTTTCCCTGAATCCCTTCACTACATATTACCCTGCTCACACTCCAATAGCTCGTCAGGTCCCAAATAACATTTGTCTCCATTCATTCCTATCTAACACGATCACACACGCTTGCTGGAAGTCCAAACCCCTCACCCACACCTCCTCCTTTATCCACTCCCACCAACCTTTTCAAGGACGGCCCCTACCCCGCCTTCCTTTCCCTACAGATTTATATGCTCTCGACGTTATTTTACTTTGATCCATTCTCTCTAAATGACCAAACCACCTCAACAATACACTCTTCAGCCCTCTGACTAATACTTTTATTAACTCCACACCTTCTCCTAATTTCCACACTCCAAATTTTCTGCATAATATTTACACCACACATTGCCCTTAGACAGGACATCTCCACTGCCTCCAACCGCCTCCTCGCTGCAGCATTTACAACCCAAGCTAAATTTACACCCATATGAGAGTGTTGGTACTACTATACTTTCATACATTCCCTTCTTTGCCTCCACATATACCTCAATGCACCACTCACCTTTTTTCCTTCATCAATTCTATGATTAACCTCATCCTTCATAAATCCATCCGCTGACACGTCAACTTACAAGTATCTCAAAACATTCACTTCTTCCATACTCCTCCTCCCCAATTTGATATCCAATTTTTCTTTATCTAAATCATTTGATACTCTCATCACCTTACTCTTTTCTATGTTCACTTTCAACTTTCTACCTTTACACACACTCCCAAATTCTTCCACAAACCTTTGCATTTTTTCTTTAGAATCTCCCATAAGCATATCATCAATTCCCATTTTGTATTTAATTCCCCATAATTTAATCCCACCCCTCTCCCGAACACCTTAGCATTTACTTCTCTTACAACCCCATCTGTAAATATATTAAACAACCATGGTGACTTTACACATCCCTGTCTAAGACCCACTTTTACCGGGAAGTAGTCTCCCTCTCTTCTACACACCCTAACCTGAGCCTCACTATCCTCATAAAAACTCTTTACAGCATTTAGTAACTTACCCCCTATTCCATATACTTGCAACATCTGCCACATTGCTTCCCTATCCACACTTTCATATGCCTTTTCTAAATCCATAAATACAATAAAAACTTCCCTACCTTTATCTAAATCCTGCTCACATATATGCTTCAATGTAAACACTTGATCTACATATCTCCTACCCACTCTAAAACCTCCTTGCTCATCCGCAATTCTACATTGTCTTACCTCTAATTTTTTCAATAATAACCCTACCGTGCACTTTTCCTGGTAAACTCAGTAAACTTATTCCTCTATAGTTTTTACAATCTCTCTTGTCCCCCTTCCCTTTATATAAAGGGACTATACATGCTCTCTGCCAATCCCTAGGTACCTTCCCCTCTTTCATACATTTTTTCTTTTATCTTTTAACACACCAGCCGTATCCCACCGAGGCGGGGTGGCCCAAAAGGAGTAACGAAAGTTTCTCCTTTTACATTTAGTAATATATACAGGAGAAGGGGTCACTAGCCCCCCGCTCCTGGCATTTTAGTCGCCCCTTACAACACGCATGGGTTACGGAGGAAGAATTCTGTTCCACTTCCCCATGGAGGTAAGAGGAAATAAACAAGAACAGTAAGAAAATAGAAGAAAAACCCAGTGAGGTGTGTATATACATGCTTGTACATGTATGTGTAGTGTGACCTAAGTGTAAGTAGAAGTAGCAAGACGTACGTGAAACCTTGCGTGTTTGTGAGACAGAAAAATGGACACCAGCAATATTACCATCATGTAAAACAATTACAGGGTTTCCTTTTACACTCACTTGGCAGGACGGTAGTACCTCCCTGGGCGGTTGCTGTCTACCAACCTACTACCTAGGTTTCATACATTTATTAAACAAAAATACCAACCACTCCAATACTATGTCACCCCTTCCCCCTGCTTTTAACATTTTTGTCATGACCCCGTCAGTTCCAGCTGCTTTACCCCTTTCATTCTACATAATGCCTCACGCACCTCCCCCACACTCACATCCTGCTCTTCTTCACTCCTAAAAGATGGTATACCTCCCTGGCCAGTGCATGAAATTACTGCCTCCCTTTCTTCGTCGATATTTAAAAGTTCCTCAAAATATTCTCGCCATCTACCCAAAACCTCCATCTCCCCATCTACTAACTCCCCTACTCTGTTTTCAACTGACAAATCCATTTGTTCCCTAGGCTTTCTTAACTTGTTTAACTCACTCCAAAATTTTTTCTTATTTTCATTAAAATTTCTTGACAGTGCCTCTCCCACTCTATCATCTGCTCTCGTTTTGCACTCTCTCACCACTCTCTTCACTTTTCTTTTACTCTCCATATACTCTACTCTTCTTATAACACTTTTACTTTGTAAATACCTCTCACAAGCTACCCAATTTTCATTCATCAAATTTAAAACATAAGCATTTAAAAAAAAATTTATTATACAATAATAACATTAAAAGTCTAGATCCAGAGCTTAAAAATGATGGCGGAGATATATTAAATTGGGAGGTGAAAATAGTGGCTAGATAGAGAATACAGGTCTCCCACAACATTTTCAAGGGTTAGGGGATCAAGACCCTCATAAATGCTGAAAAATCCTGAATGTTTGGTGCCCCAATATATTGTAGGGAAATAAAATAAAACACTGCTTCCTTAATCTATTTAACCAGAAACAATCATAAAACACATGAAAATATCGTAAAACAAATAAATGTATCGTATGTACATACATGCTCCTCCCACTCATATATTTGTCCAATCTCTTTTTAAAGCTACCCAAGATCCTATCAAAGCTAAAACTTTGGGTAGTTTCAAATTTAGGTTGGATAAATACACAAGTGAGAGGGGTTGGATTTGACTGGGACTCACATGTGAGTAAATAAAATTATCAAAGCTTATTGCATGGGTAGCATTTATTCTGTTAGTGGGTTGGATTTGTGAAGGACCTGCCAAGTATAGGCCAACAGGCCTACTACAGTGTTCCTCCTTTCCCACTCAAATCCAACCCCTCTCACTCGTGTATTTTTTTTTTTAACAAGTCGGCCATCTTCCACCGAGGCAGTGTGACCCAAAAAGAAAGAAAATCCCCAAAAAGAAAATACTTTCATCATTCAACACTTTTACCTCACTCACACATAATCACTGTTTTTGCAGAGGTGCACAGAATACAACAGTTTAGAAGCATATATGTATAAAGATACACAACATATCCCTCCAAACTGCCAATATCCCAAACCCCTCCTTTAACCCCTCGACTGAGGTGTTTCCTGGTGTCGCAAAATTTCAAAAAAAAAAAAAAATAATAAAAAAAAATTTTTTCTTGTGAAATGATGGAGAATCTTTTCCCAATTGTAATGACACCAAAAGAACGAAATTTGATGGAAAACTGATGGAATTACACTCTCACAAAGTTAGCGACCTCAGCAATATTTACGAATCGGCGATTTTGCCCACTTTGAGCCCTATTTTTGGCTAATTCCATTGTTCCAGTCAACCAAACTCATAGCTATTTCTTTAGAACTCCATTTTTTCTATCGATTGAGAACAAGAAACTGCCCATTTACTGATTTTAACTACCCAATAAAGTGGTCAAATTTGCAATTAGGTCAATTTCACAAAAATTTAAAAAAAAATGACAATTTCAAAATAGGGGTCAGAATGAACAATGCAGACATTCCTGGCTCTAAAATAACATTTTCTTTGTTCATCAGTCATGTCTCCAGGCCCCTCTGATATTACTCTTGCTTTCTATTTTGAATTTTTATTCAAACAACAAATAGAAGATTTACTGTTATAGAGACTACTGCAATATTGTAATAATTGTATAAATAATGTCAACCCATTCATGACCGCATATTAGAATGGTTACTTGGACATTTATTGGAAAATGACATCATTTGTTTACTTTTGAACATCTGCAAAAATCAAAGATTTCCCCTATTTTGAGCTCCAATTCAAGGTTCTTTTCATAGTAAAACCAATCAAAATCACCTCTATCTCTATAATATGTTTTCCATTCTATCAAATAAGACCAAGAAAACGAGAATACAACCATAAATACTATATGAAAATAGACCACAAACTCTGCATTTTAATTAAAAAAAAACGGTCAGTTTTTTTTTTCTCTTTATGCACTTTGTGCTGCAGAATTTTTTTATATGGTGCACACTGACCACACAGACCCATTCTCTCATATGTGGGCCTACCAGCTTTCTCCTGCTTGATTTGAAGCCACTAGAATAATGAGTATATATACGTCAAAAACGGTGGCTCGTAAGACGTATATATACGTACGACCAAAACAGTCAAAGGATTAAAGTGCAAGCATTGTACTTCCCATTTCCAGGACTCAAGTCCGGCTATATAAAAATAACCGGTTTCCCTGAAATTTTTTTTTTTTTTTCCAACAAGTCAGCCATCTCCCACTGCGGCAGGGTGACCCAAAAAGAAAGAAAATCCCCAAAAAGAAAATACTTTCATCATCATTCAACATTTCACCTCACCTCACACATAATCACTGTTTTTGCAGAGGTGCCCAGAATACAACAGTTTACAAGTACATACGTATAAAAATAGACAATATATCCCTCCAAACTGCCAATATCCCAAACGTCTCCGTTAGAGTGCAGGCACCACAGTTCCCATTTCCAGGACTCAAGTTCGGTTATATGAAATAACTGGTTTC